TGGATAAACTCTACCTGTCCATGATAAATACAACTTTCTCCCAAAGTGTAGCCAGTGTTCCTGGAACAATCCCACTTAAGAAGATCCAAAATCTTTGTATAAAAAGTGCACAAGTCTGTCTTGTGTATAAAAATCTTTTAACCTATGTGTATCTTATATTCAAAAGAATTCACACTACTTGAATACATTAAAAGAGTTCCAAAGCACACACCATATGTGTGTGTGTGTGTGTGTGTGTGTGTGTGTGTGTGTGTGTGTGTGTACAACAAAAGGAATGTTTTGCAATGTGAAGAAACGAAGAATTAGAGTCTTCTGTATTACCAGAGTCAATGCAGTTATACCTATTTGGAATTAGTTTATAAATAAATAAACTGTAAGATGAATAAACCCCAGTGTTAAAAAAACACAGAATTTCATAATTCAGGAACATAGCTTCAGTGCTTCACAATGTGGAAAGAAGCTAATTGGCTCCTAAAAACAGCCAATTGGTTTGATTTCCTAGAAGTTAGAAAAAAATGCACTTCAGAAGATGATTTACAACAATTCACAACAGAAGAACGACATTAAGAAAATATTGTGAGGGGCGCCTGGGTGGCGCAGTCGGTTAAGCGTCCGACTTCAGCCAGGTCACGATCTCGCGGTCCGTGAGTTCAAGCCCCGCGTCAGACTCTGGGCTGATGGCTCAGAGCCTGGAGCCTGTTTCCGATTCTGTGTCTCCCTCTCTCTCTGCCCCTCCCCCGTTCATGCTCTGTCTCTCTCTGTCCCAAAAATAAAAAATAAAAACGTTGAAAAAAAAATTAAAAAAAAAAGAAAAGAAAATATTGTGAACGTAAGAATTGAGGTCCTCAGAGTATCAAAAGAGGTAAGAATCAGACTTCACGTTAGAATTTAAAGAATGTAATTGAAAGAAAAATTAACTGGGATCTTTGTAACAGGTTAAATATGTAACCACTTCAAATAGAAGTGATTTAGGCCTCTGCCTAGTTCCGAAAATGTAACATCTAGGTTTCCATATAAAAATAATTTCGTTAGCAAGGGTCCCTTTGTTTTAGCCTGAAAATCACCTCTGATGCTCCAAAGTGTATATACTATTACCAAACTAGCATTTAAACAGCATTATCAGGATACATCTCACCTACCATAAACTTAATTTTAAAGTGTACAGTTCAGTGGGTTTTAGTGTATTCGCAGAGTTGTGCAACCGTCACTACAGTCGAATTCAGAATATTTCGTTACTCCAAAAAGAAACCCAGTAACCACGTGTATTTACTCCTCATTCCTCTCCTCCCCCAGCTCTAGCAACCACTAATCTACTTCCTGTTGCTATTTATTTTAGTAACTTTTTTGTTTGAGAAAGTATGTGAGTGTGTGGGGGGGGGGGGGGGGGGGGGGGGGGGGGGGGCAGAGCCAGAGGCAGAGAGAGAATCTTTAGCAGGCTCCATGCTCAGCGTGGAGCTCAACACGGGGCTGGATCTCATGACCATGAGATCATGACCTGAGCTGAAATCCAGAGTTGGACGTTTAATAACATTATAACATTGTAAACTTGCAACACTGTTCTCATGCCTATTCCAGGTCATTGACTCAGAGGTTTAGAAGTTCTTAAACTAGACAAATTTGCAAGTCCTGTGACAGCTTTCTTTCACATCTTTCACTCTGTGCCTTCTTACCTTTCTGCTTCCCTAATACAAAGCCTAAGCTCGCTTTCACAAAGAAGCCTTAAATTATCTCCGCATACTTTATTGTATTAAGACCTGTTTACATCCAAAGCCTTTTGGTCACCCTTCTCCAGTATTCACAATTCCTGTGCTATATATACTCATTTTCTAAATATCATCTCTCCCATCTTCATTCCATTTAAATCCTTTAAAAAAAAAAAATCCTCTCATCCCTTTCGTTTGGTGCCTTCCTCCAAACCCAAGGTTTCTGTCTTTTGTCAGTCATTTTTCTCCCTTTCACTCTTAACCTCTCTAGTAATTCTGCTTTCTCACCCTGCAACAAAAGCTCACACTCTGATAATGTATATGTAGTGCTCAATTGGGTGTTTCTGAATAAATATCTGCTTTTCAAAACAGTGAAATCTAAACTATTAGCATGGAAATAACCCCTGGTAAGATGAGGTCTCCACTTGAAAGCTTCAAACAGATTCTCCTGCTGGTATTGAAAGATGGAGTTTTATCTAATATTATCTGAAATGGGGTGACTACTTGAACCATACAAGATGTCCACTATCTCGAAATGAGAATAGATCCTTGATTTTACATTTCTGTCTATTTTGATTGACCTGAGAAATAAAACTTACCACCTCAGAGAAGGTAATTTTCCTATGTTTTGGATTATATTGAGCATTAATTCTTCAGGGTCATTATAGACTTAGAAATGTTTTGTCCTGCCTCCTAGTCTATGCCGTTGTGCCTTCCAGTAATGGGAGGAATCTACAAGGCAACCCAATCCATTCTGTACTGCTGTTGATTGTTATAACCGTTCATCCTTGTGTTGATGTTGCACTTCTGGACATTAATGCAGCCTGGAGTTGCTTTAAGTTTTGTTTTGTTTTTGTTTTTTTGTGTGTTTTCTTTTTTAGCAACCATGTAATGTTGGCTCATATAATGAATTTTTATTTTCTGACATAAGCTCTGTGCCCAACATGGGGCTTGAACTCACGACCCTGAAATCAAGAGTCACATGCTGTACTGACTGAGCCAAACAGGCACCCCTCAAAATGAATTTTTAATTAACTAAAATCCCAAGATTTTAATCTAGAGAGTTGCTTTCACGTGACTTCTTTCCAAACCAAGTTTCCATTTTCCTTTAGCTGTGCAACAGATTTTTAAAGTCAGAATGTAATGTTTAATATCCCTGTTAAATTTCATCTCAGCGTATCAGCCAGCTTTGGTTTCTTTGAATCTTGATTTTTGTCATCCAGCTTATTCTGATTCAACGAGGGGTCTAAAAGCTAGTGTCAAAATGTTTTCAGACATCTGGGAAACAATAATGAAAAATCATGGAGACTATCTTCCAAAAATTGTTCCTTGCAGATATATCTGAGCTCTTGCATATGTAGGAGTTAATACCATTGTAAATTGACAAGGCCAAGAGAGACTGAAGTTTATTGCCAGCCTGCAAGACAGAAGCCTTGTGTTCAACATGACTCTGAGATGATGTTCCGAGACATGTAGTGCCAACATAATGCCAGGGCTGTTAATTCTTCCCAAGAAATCCATTAATGCACATACGTGGTTGAGACAGAATTACCGTGTCCCAGGGCGCCTGGGTGGCTCGGGCAGTTAAATGTCCAACCCTGGATTTCGGCTCAGGTCATGATCTCATGGTTCCGTGAGTTTGAGCCCCGTGTCAGGCTCTGTGCTGACAGCATGGAGCCTGCTTGGGTTCTCCCTCTCTTTCCTGTCTCTGCCCGCTGCCTTGCACGTGTATGCTCTCTTGCTGTCTGTCAAAATAAATAAACTTAAAAAAAAATTACCGTGTCCTTTTTTTAATTTTTTTTGCCAAGCATATACTGAGCACAGTATTAGGAAGGATGCAAGATTCCGGAGAACCAGGTTTGCTTGGGGCAACCCTGATTTATGCCTGTTGTCCCAGTGTAATTATTAGTAACATCATTTTTCAGTTTCAGAGTGTCCAGGTTTGGAGGCTAAATCATCTGGCCACCCTTCTCATAACCCAGCTAGTTCTTTTTAGAATTTTTTCTGGGTTAAATGTTACACAGCTATAATTTGGCAACTTTAATGAGGCTACACTAGTACTTGTCTTCCATTTGAACAGATTGTTTCTTGACCATGGGAAGTTGATAGCAAAAGTAACTGCAGTTAAGGTCTACACATACTCAGAATTTCTCTGGAGCTGCCCTCTAGAGGGCAGTAATACATACATCTGAAATGATCCAATTCCAACAAAAAATGGACTACGAGAGTCCATTTTCATATGCATGAAAATCAGAAACATTTGATATTCCTTTCTTTAAACTTTTTTTAATGTTTTATTTTTGAGACAGACAGCATGAGCGGGGGAGGGGCAGAGAGAGAGGGAGACACAGAATCCGAAGCAGGCTGCAGGCTCCAGGCTCTGAGCTGTCAGCACAGAGCCTGACGGAGGGCTTGAACTCATGATCTGTGAGATTATGTCCTGAGCTGGAGTCAGACGCTTAAGTGACTAAGTCATCCAGGTGCCCCTAGAAACATTTGAGGCTCCTGAAGGACATATTGGAACCAATACCGTGCATAAAACTCAGGTATCTTTTGCTCTGCAGGGAAGTAAAGAAATATTAAAAATTAGTTCATTAACATTCTGAACATACACAGTTTTTTTAATTGTTAAAACTGAACTTTGGGGCACCTGGGTGGCGCACTCGGTTGAGCGTCCGACTTCAGCCAGGTCACGATCTCGCGGTCCGTGAGTTCGAGCCCCGCGTCGGGCTCTGGGCTGATGGCTCAGAGCCTGGAGCCTGTTTCCGATTCTGTGTCTCCCTCTCTCTCTGCCCCTCCCCCATTCATGCTCTGTCTCTCCCTGTCCCAAAAATAAATAAACGTTGAAAAAAAAATTTTTTTTTTTTAAATAAAATAAAACTGAACTTTGATGCCTTGACTATACAATGATCCATTATAACAATTATGCAGGGAGTTTAAGAATCTGCATATTTTATGCTTTTCTGTTTTTCCTAATTAATGGTTTTACATGGTTAATAATGTTAATATATTCTGCATCACATAGTTTCCATATTTATGCAAAATAAGCAATTAAAAATGAATAGTTCTACCTACTTAAATATTACTTTCCTCTAAAAAACAAAAAATGCAGGTTTTTACTTTGTAACTTGAATCATGTGGTAACGTAGAACTCTAATATTTAGAATTAGAATATTTCTTAAGAGATTGTATGATTACTTTTATGTCATCAGTAGTTAGTTTATTAGCTTCTGATATCAAAATTATATTGGCTGCGTCTCACATTTTGGATTTCTTCATGTAATGTTCTCTTTTTAGGAAGGGTGGACAAGTCCTATTTTCAGGAGAAGATGACTTTTAACAGTTTTGAAGCATCTAAACCTTGTGTACCTGCAGATCTCAGTAAGGATGAAGACTTTGTAGAAGAGTTTAATAGATTAAAGACTTTCGCTAATTTTCCAAGTAATAGTCCTGTCTCGGCATCAACGTTGGCACGGGCGGGTTTTCTGTATACCGGCGAAGGAGACACTGTGCGCTGCTTCAGCTGCCACGCAGCAGTAGATAGATGGCAATATGGAGACTCAGCGGTTGGACGACACAGGAAAGTATCCCCAAATTGCAGATTTATCAATGGCTTTTATTTTGAAAATCATGCTGCGCAACCTACAAACCCTGGTATCCAAAATGGTCAGTATAAAGCTGAAAGCTATCTGGGAAACAGAAATCATTTTGTTGTAGACAGGCCATCTGAGACTCACGCAGACTATCTTTTGAGAACTGGACAGGTCGTAGATATATCAGACACCATATACCCGAGGAACCCCGCCATGTATAGTGAAGAAGCTAGATTAAAGTCATTTCAGAACTGGCCAGACTATGCCCACCTGACCCCAAGAGAGTTAGCTAGCGCTGGACTCTACTACACAGGTATTGAGGATCAAGTGCAGTGCTTTTGTTGTGGCGGAAAACTGAAAAATTGGGAACCTTGCGATCGTGCATGGTCAGAACACAGGCGGCACTTTCCTAATTGCTTCTTTGTTTTGGGCCGGAATGTGAATGTTCGAAGTGAATCTGATGTTGTGAGTTCTGATAGGAATTTCCCAAACTCGACAAATGCTCCAAGAAATCCAGCCATGGCAGATTATGAAGCACGGATCGTTACTTTTGGGACGTGGATGTACTCCGTTAACAAGGAGCAGCTTGCAAGAGCTGGATTTTATGCTTTAGGTAAACGTTATGATAAAATCAGGCTGTTAAATAACTTTCCAACTATCTCAGGGCTCCTAAAAAAGTAAATTGATTGCTGTAGCCCCCTGAACTGGTAAATATTTAGGTGTAGGCTGGCCTGATGGTTTGTGTCACTATTAAATCTGTGAACCCTTACGTTGAATCTGCAATGTAAGCACTCCGTTTCTGTGAAAGAGACCGCCATATCGTGAGTTCTCTTCCCCTTCGTGTGATTGTTGTTTGGAGAAGGGTGACCTGCAAAAGATGGTACAAGAATGGGTCTGACAGCAAGGCTGACTGTAACGGAGCGAGTACCTACTCTGTGTGCTCAGTACATATCTTACGTGCATTCTTTCTACACCCCACAAAAGAGTTAACGTCAAGAGTTTAGTGTGGCCGATATTAAAATTGGTATCTGCCTTTTATGTCTAGACTATATGTTTGAAAGCTGCCCTGTATGATGCCTTATTGCTTCAAATAAGCACTTCTCAAATGGACTATTGTAAACTTGTCAGGAAGGGCCATTAGTGTGATGCCTTCCAGGAATATTCAGTTATACCACGATATATCTGACCCGTTTACTTTAGGATTGAACGGTGCCAAAATACAAACTCTCAGTTATTTCAATATTTTATTTACATAGTATCCTACAGAAACCATGAAGGTTTATTTAGTGTCACGTAGCTATAACCCGTAGAGAAACTTACTAGTAATTTCATTATGCTGAGCTTTACTGTTAAAGTTTCAGTTTGAAGGAGTGTAGTATGGATGGCCCCAAATGACATGTCAGAGAGAAGGTAACAATTGTAATTTTTCACATAAAAATTGGACAGTTTTATTTTTGTCTTCTGTAAAATACCTCAGATTAATTCAGTGAATTTAGTGTCTGTTTCCTCCTCAAACAACCATGTCTATTACTTAGATGTGAATTTGAATGTCTTCTTTGAAGCCGTGAGGCTTTCGTGTATTTAGAAATGGTTAATTTCAGCGTTAAAAGGAGTATTTTTGCGTTAGCTTTTAATTGCACAAACACATGTATTTTTTTACTTGTGTCTTTTCTTAGGGGAAGGTGATAAAGTAAAATGCTTTCACTGTGGAGGAGGGCTAACTGATTGGAAGCCCAGTGAAGACCCTTGGGAACAACATGCTAAGTGGTATCCAGGGTAAGGTATTTAAATGCTTATTCAGGAACAGGCAAGTTAGACACTTTGCAGTAGGAAAATCTTGAATAACTTTTCACCTCAACTATTTTTGCCCTCACTATGGCTTGAAATTCACACCAGGTTTATAAAAATGGGGTCACCTACTTTATAGGGGAAAAAAAAGTCCTAAGCCTTCTCTGGTGACCAGAGAAAGCACTCATTGCTTGTATATTGTATCTCTGGCATTCAGATAATTCTGTTTCTAAATGCCAGATTAGGAATATATGGTTTTGTTGTTGTTGGAGCTAGGCTCTTTCGTGATGGGCAGTAGAGCCCTTGCTGTCAAGGAGTTTCCTTAAGAACCCATGACATCCCCTAGTCGATTTTACTCTATCTCAGTGATTCTAACACACACAGTTGTTCACATTTGCAGATTTCTGAAATGAGGACACATCTGGAGGTGGGTCATAATTGAATTGGCAGTGGTGGTACTTAAAATAATCGTGCTTCATATAATCCATGGCATCTTAGAATGAGAGTGACATACGCTAAACGTCTCTTTTCCATCTTCTTTAAAAATCAAGTACACACGTATGTAAATGATGTGAATTTGTGGCCTGCAAAATAGTACAACGTAAAACTTCAGAGCAGTTGTTTGAAAATAAATCTTAACTTTAAAAAGCCTTAGAAGGAAAGGTTAGAAGCCTAAAGAATTCCTTCAAAATGTACAGTTGGTTAATCCTCTAAATAAAATTTAAGATTAACTGTTTGAAGAAAATTTTTTAAATGTTAAGGTGATAATTTAATAGGTGATATTTTTTGCCTCACTAAGATTAACAAAGTAGCATAACAAAGGGAACACATTTTTTTACCTTAAAATGACAGTTGATAGGAAATTGAATAACATTTTATTTTGCCACTTCTTAGAAATACCAAAAAGCAAGTTAATGGAATTAAGATAATGGAGATTATATCTTTACTTCTACCTTACTAATTTATCAGCTACCAAAGTTTAACCTTCTTTTAATTGTTTAGGTGTAAATATCTGTTAGAAGAGAAGGGACAAGACTATGTAACCAATATTCATTTAACCCATTCACTTGAGGACTCTATGGTAAGTCACATATTGTAGAATATATATTTTTAAATATGTAATTTCTTTTGCAATGATTTCTTGGTGTAAAATTCACCATATGGTATTTTAAATTAATAGTGTATGGTGAGCTTTAAAGGGGAGATCTTGAAGAATGGCTTGTTATTCTTACTCTGAAGCCGATTTGTGAAAAGAGACTCCCTGTGAGCTGATTGAACTATCACTGTAAGCAGAACTGGGCTTTAAGAACTAAAATACTTAATCCCTCAGCTTTCTGAAATTAGACTTTTGTGTAATGTGTTTTATACTTATAAATAGTTTTAAACTTTTCATAGATGATATTTTAAGTCTCAAAAATGTGTCTAAATTGATGGTGCGGCCTGGGGTGGCCAAGGTATTGGCACCATGAGGGAACAGCCGTGGACTAGAACAGGGGGCTAGAGTTGCCGTTATGGCTCCACCATGAACTCTGTTGCCTCCATCAAGTTGTTTAATCTCCTTGAGTCTCAGGTTCTTGTCTGTAAAGTGAATGGATTGGGTTAAATGATCTTTTAACTTCTAGCTTCATCAGTTTATGCCTCTTGTGAACATTGGAATAAAGCCAATTTATAAATTCATGATTAATGTAACTTTTCAAATTGAGGTAATTGCCTCTACCAAAAAGAATTCTAACTTAAAAATCCGTATTTCTGTTTTAGGTAAGAACTGCTGAAAAAATGCCATCATTAACCAAAAGAATTGGTAAATATGCCTATTAAATATACTTTTAATTTCATTACTGATTTATTTTTTTAGTGTTTATTTTTGAGAGCGAGAGCGAGCGAGAGTGAGTGGGGGGAAGGGGGAGAGAGGGAGACACAGAATTCGAAGCAGGCTCCAGGCTCTAAGCATCTGTGCAGAGCTCGATCGACGCAGGGCTAGAACTCATGAACCTCAAGATCATGACATGAGCTAAACTCGGACCCTTAACCGACTGAGCCACCCAGGAGCCCCATCATTGCCAATTTATTATAGTTGTTATTTATAGGTTGGAAATACAAGCTTATTCTTTCAAGGTAATCAGGGTGTGTTTATTTGAGATGACATTGCTATGAATTAAGAATTAGTGAAGTGCCTGTAAATTTAAGTCAGATATTTAACTATTAAGAACATTCATGTGATTAATATACAGTATATTAATTATACTGGAAAATTAAAAATTATACTAAACCATAAGTTATGTAATTATATATTTTGTTACATTAATTATACTAAAAAATTAAAAATAAAATAAGACTTTAAAAAAGAATATTCATATGGAAGTTGGACAGTTAGCTTTTCCTATTTCAGGAGAAGCAGCTATAGGCTGTCCATTGCCATTTCTGTTAAAATTGCGAAAGGAAGAGTTAAGTGTATTTTTGTCCCTGGTGCTTCTTCAGTTAGCCAGGATCATGAATCCAGTGCTAATGTGCCATCACCACGATCGGCCCTACCTGCTTCCTTATCCCATGCCATCTTTCTGCCTTCCCCAGTTTCTTCACAGAGGGGCATGGTTCGTTTTATCTCCTGTTACCTTGTAGAGAGGTAGAGGTTTTTATCTCAGAGATTATTTACTCATCATAAGCATGTTTGAAAACCAGAAAAATACTATGTTAAGAAAATATGATATTGTTATCCCCACTTTTCAGATGAAGAACAGAGTCAAGGAGGTTAAGTGTCTTGCCCACAGTTACCTTACGAATCGTCAGTGGAACTAGGACTCTAAACGAGGTCTTCTGAAACCTACATCACACTGTAGATCTCATTCTCAACTTAGGCATCATGTTTCGAGAAAGTTTATTGAGAATGCCTGCTGATTCCCCACTCCTTATAGCATCATCTGTTTAGTATCCTAAGGGTTACAAGGCAAGAGAAAACTATATATACTCATGAATATGCTTAAGAAAGAGAGCCATTTTGATAATGTTTGATACAGGTTTTGTAATGAGCATAAAAAATACAGTTTAAGAAATCATTTATTCCAGCCTGTATTTTTCAGATTATCCAGAAACAAAGATTCTATAGTATTTCTTGATAATAATCACCTTTACAATGCATACTGTGTTTTTTATGACTAAATGAGACTCTTGCTCTGGTTTATGGTTAATGTTTTTAAATAGAAATGTAATTCATATAGCAAAAATTTCACCCTTATAAACTGTACACTTTAGTGGTTTTTAGTATATTCACAAGGTTGTGGAACCATCACAACCTATTTAATTGCTGCAGGACATTATCGTAACCCCCAAAAGAAACCCTATACCCATTAGCAGTCACTCTCCATTGCTGCCCCTTCACCCTCAAACCCAAACAACTACTAATTTATTTCCATCTCTTTGGATTTACCTATTCTGGACATTTCATATGAATGGAATCATAATATATGGCTTTGAGGTTCATCCACATTTTGGTACTCCTATATGAGTACTTCATTCTTTTTTTATGGTGGAAAAATATCCCTTTGTATGGATAATACCATGAATGTTTACCCATTCATCGGTTGGTAGACATTTGGGTTTCCATTCCTTGGCTTTTAAGAATGATGCTGATGCTGCTATGAACATCTGTGTGCAAATTTCTGTGTAGAAATAGGTTTTGAATTCTCTTGAGTATATATTTAGGGATGGAATTGCTGGGTCATGTAGTAACTCTACATTTAACCTTTTGATAAATGGCCAGTTTTCCAAGGTGGCTGCACCATTTTACATTCCTGCTGGCAGTGCATAAGGGTTCTGGTTTATTTCTCCACATCCTTGTTAATGCTTGTTATTGTATGTTCTTTTATTACAGCCATCCTAGTGGGTTTGTGAAGTGGTATCTTATTGTGCTTTTGATTTGCATCTCCCTGATGGCTAATGATGTTGGGAATCCTTTCATGTGCTTATTGGCCAATTGTAGGTCTTCTTTGAAGAAATGTCTGTTCATTGCCTTTGTCCATTTTTTAAGTTGTCGTATTTATCTTTCTGTTACTGAGTTGTAAGAGTTCTTTACATATTCTAGTTTGTTATATGTAAGCCCCCTGTCAGATATATGATTTGCAAATATTTTCTCTCGTTCTGTGGGTTATCTTTTCACTTTCTAGCTGGTGTCCTTTGAAGCATATACGTTTTTAATTGTGATGAAATCCAGTTGATCTGTTTTTGTTGCTTATGCTTTTATAGTGTTATATGTAAGAAACCATTGCCTAATCCAAGGTCATCTATGTTTTCTTTTAAGAATTTTATGGTTTTAGGGGCATCTGGGGGGTTCAGTGGGTTAAAAAAAGTCTGACTTCAGCTCATGTCATGATTTCATGGTCTGTGGGTTTGAGCCCCGCATCGGGCTCTGTGCTGACAGCTCAGAGCCTGGAGCCTGCTTCAGATTCTGTGTCTCCCTTTCTCTCTGCCCCTTCCTGCTCGTGTTGTCTGTCTGTCTGTCTGTCTCTCTCTCTCTCAAAAATAAACATTAAAAAACTTTTTATTAAAAAATAAAAAGAATTTTATGGTTTTAGCTTTTACATTCAGATCTTTGATCCATTTTGAGTTAATTTTTATATATGTGTAAGGTAGGGGTCCTTTTAATTGTTTCTCATATCCTGTTGTCTCTGCCTTTAGTTTTAAGCAAGGTGACCTTGAGATACCTACAGGATATCCAAGTACATGGATATTAAAACCTGGAACTCACCTAAATAAGAGTAAAATTGTGGTAGGGGGAAGCATCCAGAGAGATCATTAAAAAGGGTGCATCGATGAGGGAAGCTGAAGGTGAGCAGAAGGAGCCAACAAAACAAGCTGAAAAAAACAAAACGTGGACAGTAGAACCAGGAAAGAGCGCTGTCCAGCTGATCTCTGGACATCTCCACTTAAAAATCTCAAAAGCAGCTCAAATTCCGCATTTCTAAAAACCACCCTGACTGAATCCAGTCCTGCTCTCTGCCCCCCCCCAAGTTGGTTAATAGTTCCACAGTTCACAGAGTTGCCCAGTAATTTGAGTCATTTTAAGCTCTTTGCTTTCCTTAATCCCTCTACATTTAATTAACCACCAGGTCTGATGAATTCAACCTTTTTAATATTGTCTAAAATCCACTGATTCTGCCCTAGTTTCTGCCCTTATTTCTCATCCAGATGTGTTAGTATTCTCATAAATGGTCTTTTGTCTTCATTATAACCTCCCAACAGAATTTTTCTTTATCAAACAGAAATCTTAAGTTACTTTCTTACTTCTTTTGTTACTTACCATATAATAGTTCTTAAGGTCAAATCCTTTTCCAGTTTCTCTTTTTTTTTTTTTTTTTTTTAATTTTTTTCAACGTTTATTTATTTTTGGGACAGAGAGAGACAGAGCATGAACGGGGAGGGGCAGAGAGAGAGGGAGACACAGAATCGGAAACAGGCTCCAGGCTCTGAGCCATCAGCCCAGAGCCTGACACGAGGCTCGAACTCACGGACCGCGAGATCGTGACCTGGCTGAAGTCGGACGCTTAACCGACTGCGCCACCCAGGCGCCCCCAGTTTCTCTTTTTAAAAAACATTTATTGAGGGGTGCCTGGGTGGCTCAGTTGGTGAAGCAGCCGAGTCTTGATTTCGGCTCAGATCATAATCTCACAGTTCATGGGTTCGAGCCCCACCTAGGGCTCTGTGCTGACAATGCAGAGCCTGCTTGGGATTCTCTATCTCCCTCTCTCTCTGCCCCTCCCCTGCTCGCTTGCACACATGCTCACTCTCAATATAAATAAACTTAAAAAATTTAAAAATTAAAAACATTTATTGAAGTATAATCTGCATACAATAAAATGCATAAAATAGACCAATCTGAAGTATTCAACTCAGTGAATTTTAATATGCATTTATGTGTAGTCATCAGCCAAATCAAGATAATAAAACATTTCCACCATGCCCGAAACTCATTCAGGCCCCTTCCCAATCAGTATCTACCCCCAAGTTACGTTCTGACTTCTATTACCATAGGTTAGATTTGAACATCTTACAAATGTAATCATACAGTGTATTCCTTTGTTACTAGTTCATCATTATGATGACGTTTTGTTCATCTTATCTGTGAGATTCATCCATATTGTCTGTGGCAGTGGTTTGTTTTTCCTTCTTGCTGTGTAGTATTGGAATATACCACAATTTACTTATCCATTCACCTGATGATAGACATTTGAGTTGTTTCCAGTTTGAGGCTGTTATAAATGACACTGCTGTGAATATTCTTGTGGATGTCTTTGGTGGACCTTTGTACTTATTTTTAATACTCAGGAGTAGAATTGATGAATCAGAGGGTGTAAGTCTCTTTTTTTTTTTTTTTTTTTTTAGCAGTTCCCTATATAACCTGTATTTTACTTTGAGTACCATTAAAGCGAATTTCTGTTCATTTTGTTGCCTTATCTAGTTCACCCCCCTTGGCTACAGAAACTAAGTCTCAGAGATAGGAAACTCACACACATTCAAAGTCACAGACTGGGACTTCCCCGTATTCCCCACAATTTTTCCAAAATAATTGCTAGTGACAAGGGAAAGACATCCACTCTTTAAGTACTTAGGTTAGTTGTTAATGACTACAGCTGATTTGATAAAGTTCTGATTTTCAAAGCACTTAACTTTTTCTTCTCAGTTTTACCTAATTGTTCACTGTTTCTTTAGTCTTTAAATCACCTAATCTCAATTCATAGTGCTACAAAATACATACTGCATTTTCAATTATAACATTCTGAAAGATTCTTCAGTGCTTAAATATTTTAAAATCTTCTTCCCAAAGTAGCTTTGATTTGCTGGTTAGCATTTTGGGGTTTTGTTTTTTTTTTGAGGAGCGGGGCTTTGCTTGCTGCTTATATGTTTCTTTTTAACTATACTTTGCTGTTGAGTTGTGCTAATGAAAATAATTATTTAAATTCCACGTTCCTTTTTCTCACCAATTTTTATTTCAGATGATGCCATCTTCCAAGATCCTATGGTACAACAAGCTATACGAATGGGATTCAATTTCAGAGACATTAAGAAAGTAATGGAAGAAAAAATTCAGACATCTGGGAGCAACTATAAATCACTTGAGATTCTGGTTACAGACCTAGTGAGTGCCCAGAAAGACAATACACAGGATGAACCAAGCCAGACCTCATTGCAGAAAGGTATGCGTGACTGTTTTTAAAAAGCAAGAAACACCTAACAGCACTTCCTTATGGCCAGCATCTTACATGACTTTGTGGCCCATTCATTTTTTTCCTTCTCACATCCCTCTTAGGATAAACATTTTTAAAGACTTTTTGACAATAAAAAATTCAAAAATACCCAAAAGTGGAGAAAGCCATATAATGAACCCTGACATACCCATCGATCAGATTCAATAATTGTCAACAGTTTTCCAATCTTGTTTGATCTCTTCCCCAACTTTTATTGTTATGTATTTCAAAGAAAATTCCAGGCATCCCATACACCATTTACCTGTAAATAATATATATCTAACAGATAAGGATTTTTTTTAACATAATCTTAATACCATGTGTTAAGCAGTAACTTAAACTGTGCTCAGGTTAGGCTTGTAGATGGCTGCCTTCTCTGTGTGTCCTCACATGGCCGAGAAAGAGCACTCTGGTCTCTCTTCCTCTTATAGATACACTGAGTCCATGGGAAGTCTGGCTGGCTCAGTCAGTAGAGCATGTGACTCTTGATCTCCAAGTTGTGAGTTTGAGCCCCAGGTTGGGCATAGAGTTTACTTTAAGAATAAATACATACAGCGGCACCTGGGCAGATCAGTCAGTTAAGCATCTAACTCTTGATTTCAGCTCAGGTCATGATCTCATGGTTTGTGAGACCGAGCTGTGTCTTGGGATTCTCTCTCTCCCACCCTTTTCTGCCCCTACACTGTTTGTGCACTCTCACTCTCTCTCTCTCAAAATATATGAATAAAACTTAAACAAATACATAGAAAGAAAGGAAGGAAAGGAGAGAGAAAGCAAACTGATTCCATGAGGGGGTCCCACCCTTATGACCTCATCTAAATGTAATTACCTCCCGAAGGGCCACTCTGTGAGTACCATCACGTTGGGAGTTTGGGGCTTCAAAATACGAATTTTGGGGAGATACATTATTCCATAACATACTGTTACCCCATTTAAAAAATTACTAGTACTTCTGTAATATCATCTGAAAATCAGTTGGTTTTAATTTTCCCCCTGTCTTAAAACATTTTTAACAGTTGATTTCTTCTAATCGGGATCCAAGTAAGAGCCACTGATTTATTCATTTTAAGTGTGGGGGCACCTGGGTGACTCAGTTGATTAAATGCCCGACTCTTGATTTTGGTTCAGATAATGATCTCATGGTTCATGAGATCGAGCCCTGCTGACAGCATGGAGCCTACTTGGGATTCCCTCTCGTGTGCTGTCTCTTGCGCACTCTTTCAAAATAAATACTTAAAAAAAATTTTAGAGTGTGGGTTTGTGTTTTAGTTTAGATAAAGAACAAGAAAGGCTTTTATTGGGGCGCCTGGGTGGCTCAGTCGGTTAAGCGTCCAGCTTCGGCTCAGGTCATGATCTCGCAGTTCATGAGTTTGAGCCTCGCGTCAGGCTCTGTGCTGACAGCTTGGAGCCTGGAACCTGCTTCGGGTTCCGTGTCTCCCCCTGTCTCTGCCCCTCCCATGCTCATGCTCTGTCTCTCTGTATCTCTCAATAATGAGTAAAGGTTGAAAATAAATTTTTTAAAAAAGGCTTTTATGGGGCGCCTGGGTGGCGCAGTCGGTTAAGCGTCCGA